GTGAAGTTTTTTGTTTGTTTTTCGACCACATGTATTTATAGATACATATACAAAAATGAAAAGGAGCAGGAAGAACGAGCGTTACATTGTGTGGAAAGTGGTGCGATACTTTAAGGCGCCTAGTTGCGAAGTTAAAGACTTGGTTGCCTGAAGCCACGGAATTTCAGAACTAAGTAAGAAAATTTTCTTACAAAATTATGCACACATAACCGCGTCAGGACCTAGATTTACACTGATATACATACGGATGTAGAAGAAAACATTAAATCGTTTTTTATAAGTGGGGATGTTTTTTAGAAGTAAATATTTAACTAAACGAGCAAAAACATTGGGCGAATAGAAGCAAAAAAATGTTTAAAATAGTTTCATAAAACATTTATATTCAACAATTTTTATTGAGCTTGAGGCCGTTTTTAATGAAAAACTGATTGTGGAAAAGCAACAATAATTTCAAAAAATGGTAGAAGCGATAGCTATTTCGGAAATCACCACATTTTCTCATCAGACTTCTTCGCTAACACTGTGCTAAGTTCGCCTTGTAAATTATCGTTGCCTTTACCCACTTTTTCATTTGTTAAGCCAACACAATCAAGCGCAGCTATTCCGCTGTAATTTACGCTTGATTTACAAAGCGAACTTAGCACAGTGCGTAGGCAACTGGGTGAGTCAGTGGGATCGTCGCACAGTGGTTGCATTTATATGGGGAGAGCGGCCAAAAATACTTTTAATGGACATATCGGGATAAAATTTTTACCCTAAGGTCTGTTAAGAGTAAAAACTGTAATATGTAAAAGTGGGCGGGGTTGGACACGCCCAGTCATGTGAAAAATAATAGGGACACGACATTGTGACCAGTTTCGGCAATTTTTTTTTGTTTGTTTAATGTTTATTTGTTTTTTTGTATATGTCGAAATTTCAAACTTTGTAAAAAAATAGGAAAATTCAACAAAATTTTAAAACAACACCAAACTTTTTAATAAGAACTTTTAGAAAAAGTCTGGGTGTGCAGTTTTATAGCCAAATCGCAAAAACATGCAATCGAGGAAATTGTGCATTTTGAATTAGAAAATTAGATAAACCAAGAAGTAAACATGAAAAAAAACTGTAGAAAATAAAAGGCTTGGGTTACGTTATGGAATACCTTGCGAGTCTCTGCAGGTCGATGCATCTACACTGAACATTTTTATAATCTTAAAATATTACCAAACAATATGTAAATAAATATATTGAGGGCCGATAGGGGAAAAACACTTATAACATTACCTAAATACTTGAAAGACGAACCAAGAAACACACAAAATCCTATTTTTCTAAAACAACGATTTGCATAAAACACAACACGAATTATCTAAAAGTTGAATTGTTGAAATAAAGTCAATACCTTTATGCACAATATCGATGGCATACAATTTTAATTCACTCGACCTTTCACAATATTTGAATTACGTTAAATCCAATTCAATTTTCAGCGTGCTGACGCTGTACAAATAAAACGAACAATTGGTGACACTTTTGTTGCTTTTTTCAGAAACAACCATTAGAATGAAAACAAAAAATATATGACAACGTGAAGTTTGGACAAAAAACTGATTGACAAGCCTATTTTGGTTCAAAAATTTTTACATACATTATTTTAATTTTGGCCTATGGCAGCAACCTCTGTGCGTCGCACAGTGGCCAATTTTTCGAAAAAGCTGGCCAAAAGTCGAAGCGTGGTACAGTTGTAATCAAACCTTGTGTATTCGTCTTTATTTTGGTTGCTGGTTTTAAATTTCACCACATAATTTCGAAATTCAAAATGGCGGATCCATAATGGCTGCTGTGTACGCTTAAAATAATCAGATTTTTAGCAAAACTAAGGTAGTTACGTATAAAAGGTCATGTTTTCTGCCTTTTTGTTATATAATGTGATGTAGCGATTCCGCAGGGTTCAAGCCCAGTTTCCGACCAACATCAAAAAATAAGAAACAAACAAGTTTTTTGTAATAAAGTCGCCCTTTGGCAAACCCCCGAGTGTATTCAGCCACGAAGAACAGCTTCTCATAAAAATAAAATCTCCATTCGGATTCGGCGTAAAACTGTTGGTCCCTCCCCTTTGTGCGCCAACATCTAGGCGCACGCCATAAATCGGTAGAGAATTCGAGGTCTTAATGTTTGTTTCTAAAAATCTTGATGTTCAAATTTACACGGGAACTGCGGGATTTTGAATGAATCAATAAACAAGACATACATATTTATTGGTACAGGAATATATTTTTAAGATAATTTTATACACCGTCAGACTCGCAGTCATCTGAAGTATCCATGCTCATATCTATATTTTCAGATGGCAATTCCGCATCCGCATTTACAACAGTTGATAATAATTTAATGGCATCTGACGACAGTTTATGATTTTGTTTTGGTAGGTTTAAATGTAAACTTGAAATGACAGGGTCCGAGGATACAAGCAGCCGATATTTTTTAATATTCTTATTCCTTAACTCTTGGGCTTCTTCGGAAAGTTGCCCAATTGGCAGGGGTGCCCATTCAATAATGAGAGGCCCATGGATGAGCACTCTAATATAGTAGTACTTTCTGACATCATTTAGATTCTAAAAACATCCAATCTTTAAAACATCAAAATCTAGACAGAAATAATTTTTTACATAATTTAAATCTTTTAAACATAAAAAAATTAAGAATCGCGTATAAAAACTGGGGTCCAAACTACAGTGGCGGCTTGTGGCAGGTGGTTTTAACCAAGGTGGATGGGAAAAACGTCAATATATATGAAAAAGAAAGTTAGACCGCCCATCTCGACCACTCTCGTATCTATTTTCCTAATCCATCATAATGATTAACAAAAAAAATCAATCCGTGAATATCTATGTCTTACGTCAGTTTTTAGATGGCGTAACAATGAAAAAACGTGTTTTACATACTCTAGATTACAATGTCCATGAGCGGATGCTTGAAAACTGTTATTTTTTTTAAAGATAATACCACGATTTTAACAACGACGAAAACCCTAATTTGCGAAAAGTTTAGAGCGAATTGCTAGCAACAGTCACTTCGATCTCCTGTAACACTAAATGCCTTAAGAGAATCGACTTGTTGTCTCATAACGATACGCCATAGAGCCCGCCCTAACAATATAAGATGGTTATACATACGAATGCACCAATTTTTTTTTGGACTTTTGGCCAGGGTTTTCCGAAAATTGGCCACTGTGCGTCGATTCGAATCCTACTGAAAGAAGTCTAATGAGGAAATGTGCTGATTTCCGAAGTAGCTATCACTTCTACCATTTTTTTCAAATTATTGTTGCTTTTCCACAATAAGTTTTTCATTAAAAACGGCCTCAAGCTCAATAAAAATTGTTGAATCTAATTGTTATAGGGGCATAAAATAACAAAAACAAATAAAACATTTATTTCATTTAATTACGTGGTTTCCTTTATGAGGTATTATTTTCTGTATATGTGCATATAAGATTCGAATGCAGCTAAAATTCTTTGAAGGTAATATTGAAGTAATCCTTACACTGAGAAAAGAGTTTATTTACGTCAACTAAATATGTTTTCTTCAACACATGATTTAGTTATAATTACATTATTTGGTTATAGTTACCAAATGATGTGTTGAGAGAAATTTATTTAGCTGACTTTTTTCTGTGTGTAGAATTAGTATACGTACATACATATGTATGTATTTATGCTGATGCATTTCCGTGGTGAAATTATAAGCAGGTGAAGTAATAAAAAAGCTTTCTCACTTTATTTTCCTGACATGCACCTCATAGGGTAAATTTGTTTGTTTACAGTTTTTTGACATTATAACTAGCTACAAGAGAGTTCGAGCTAGTTGTCACTTCTACCTTGTTAAATATGCCTTCAAAATCATTCGTTAAAAAGTTAAGTAAAGGTTTTTCTTTACTTAACTTTAATGTTCATTGAATGCCGTTAACGAATCATTAACTGAGGCCCCTATTATGAATTACATTCGATCTTCGACTGTGGTCGAAAGTGCTGATCGAACGAATTTTGATTTGGTATTAGGGCGCTCATTCTATGAAGAATAGCGCCATTGTGAGCTTCGCTCGTTTATGTTGTTCACAATAGCATATTTTCCACCGCTGAGAAGCTTTGTTTACAAATCGAGCAAACTAAATAATGTGCTTATACATATTTACGTAAATTTGTGCAAATTAAAATGAAATAAAAAAGAAAGCAAGTTTATAAAAACGTGGTAAAAATTAGTACAACGAAGTTCTGGGGTTCAACGATTCGTCAGAGGATGAGAGTTTAGTGAACTGACCAGCTCTATGATTTGTTCTCAGAGATCGTGCCAACTGAGTACTGGGATTTTCCTTCACAAGTAAAGCAGCCTTTCAAGCTTGCGTTTTGTATTCACGACGTTAAAACTGCATGAAATTGATAAAAAAAAATTGTTTAAAATTAGTGTCTACCCGCAAAAAGTAAGAAAACAAATGCAAAATCATACATTTTTCACAATTTTCTAACACTTCGCTACCCCATCGAAAGCAAAATTCTGTTCCGACAGAAAATTCGATACTCAACGAAAATTTCGACACGGTTGCATAGCTCATAATACGAATTTCACTTTCGATCTTCGATAACCAGCGAAGATCGAAAATCGAATGCAACTCATAATAAGGGCCTGACTCTGAGAGGGAATTTTTTCAAATCGTTACTGAGGGACACCTTAAGTAATCATTATTATTATTAAGTTTTAGCTCTTGATAAATATTATTTTCGGTAAATTAAAAATTTTGATAAAAAACTCCTCCTTGCCTCTTTACGAACGCGATGTGTCGTAAGCAAATTTGTAGTAAACTATGTTTTTATTATTTTGTATTATTATTTAATGGTGACGAAAAATGTAGCTTTCCTAACTTTAACAAATCTAGAATCAGCGACCTGAATATGTTATAGAAATATGAATGTCATTCTTGCCTTTTTAGGCCGTCGGTCAGTGTAATAGTTTTTTAGGCATACCTCCCTATGTCGAGCCTCCTCCCGAATACGTTCTCGTTGTTGTTCCAACTCAAACATTAACTCCAGCTCCATTTCGGATTTCGCGGCTTCTACACGACAAATTACTTCTTTTTCGATTTCATCTTTACGTCTTATTAACTCCTCCTCAACTCGTTTCTTGACCAGCAGCTCAATGCGCTTACTTGTTTCGTCTTTAATTATCTATAATAAAAACAATGCCGTCAGTACAATTTTGAATAAATATTATTAGTTAAGTTCCTACATTATTTATCTAACTATGTTGCACATTTTTTAAAAACTTTCAGTTTATATTCAACAATTTTTATGAGCTCGAGGCCGTATTAAATGCAAACTTATTGTGGAAAAACAACAATAATTTGAAATAATACGGCCTCGAGCTCATAAAAATTGTTGAATATAATTGTTATAAGGCCATAAAAATAACAAAAAACAAAAAACTTTCAGTTTATTCAAAATATGTTCACCCTTGGGCGAAATAATAGAAACCATATTTTGATCAGTTTGGCTATGTTTCTTTTCATTATTTTATATTTTTTTTATAAAAGTGCAGCCCATTATCAAACAAAGTTGGTTGAATAAGGAAAATGAATTAGCAACAAGAGTTTACGGGATGTACATAGCTCAGTGGTTAACGCTTCTGACTTTGAACATCGATTACGCAGGTTCGATCCCTGCTGAAATCTAGAAAAAAGAAGTCTGATGAAGAGATGTGGTGATCTCCGAAATAGCTGCAATAACTTCTACCGCTTAGACTTTGCTGCTTTTTCAATTTTTCCTAATAAACAATCGTGGTATAAAGCTCAATAAAAAATATTAAAAATAAAATGTTAATAAGCCACAATAACATTGACAAAAGCCATATAATTCACAATTCAAACTTTGTGCCAAAATTATAAAAATTCTGCGAAAATTCACCTAAATCTTAAACTTTTCAATCAGGTTTTTTTTAGAATTTTTATTTAGTATGCAGTTTTATAGCAGATTGAATAAAGCACTATAATAAAGTGTAAGTTTTAAGTTGCTAGAAAATCGGATTGATTTTTGGAAATTTTTTTCTCGCATTTTCTTCCATACAAGGTATATGACAATTTTTTCATATGGGTGTTTCCATAAAAATGTAAACCGAAAACGCAAACGAGTTCAAACTTTAAATTTCGTATTCAGATGGCGAAAAAATGTTATGAAAACGCGAAACGGTGGAGAGAAGAACTGAATAAATTAAATAAAAGATTAAATTATATATGTGTTACTAGTAAAAATATTTTATTGGGGAAAAATTTGTTACGTCCGTTATCATATTTTAATTCTAAATTATACCAACAACGAATTGTTTATTAAAAATGAATTGGTTGTAATGGTCCGTAATTTAACTTTATTTACAGAATGTTTAAAGAAGGAAAACCTCACAGAATTTGCAAAGTTTTGCCTATTTTTACATGTACTCTGAAACAACTTCTATTTTTGTCCATTATGAGCTTCTTTTCATCGATGTTCTCGACGCCAGTGTTCCAAGGGCAACTTATATTTTTGTCAAGCAAAGGATGGTATAAAAGTTACACAACGGCAATTATTTTTTTTAAGTGTCTTCCGTTTTCCTATGATTTATTTAACTCTAAAGTCGTACGAATGTCACGACCGACGTCATGGAAACACAGATATGGAAAAAATGCGTATTACAATTAAAAAAAAAAAAAACAAATTATCAAAACTTACACTTTATTACTATCCCAGTAAATTTAGATCAAATTGGTACGAAAAAAGCAAAATATTTGTTGTAGGGAACTTTTAATGCAGTTTACTTCTATTTGACAAGTAGATCATGGATCCACAGTGTTTCCGTTAAATTTCATATGGGAACATTCCGCCATCTTGGATTTTAGGTTTTTTTTGGATTTTTTGCGATTTACATTTTTCGCAAAATAGGTTACAAACAAATTTGTAGAAACCTAGATTGCCATTTGCAAGAAGTGCGAAAAATTTATACATTGTCACGGTTTCCGCCATTTTTCAACAATTTCTGTTGAAAATACGTAGGGTATTAAAATTCCAAAGTTGTACAGAATTTCATTTTTCATATATATAGTATATGTATATCCCTCTAATGCCCGTTTTTTAAATAGCGAACGTAGAATTTGCAACTAAACGTTTTTGGATTAATTTGGGCTACTGATTATAAAAAAAAAATTCTTTGAGCCAGGTTTAGCTGTGATATGAAAACATTAACCTGAGGCACTCATAAAGAAATCTCTGCTCCATAGCTCAAGTGGCCTTTACTCAAAACACATTTCAAAATAATAATAGATAAGCATACCTGTTAGAAACTAAAGTTATTCAGCCTCATTGCGAGTGTCGTGTCGTTTGCAAGTCGTTTTTCGAGAGTCGAGTCGTATTGAAAATTGCATGACATTGCCTTAAATTTGCTCTCGACTAGTAAATTAAAACGAAAAAAGTTGGCAGTAGTGTATAATGAGGCTGATTATTGCTTTAGAGAAACTCAGAACCAAAACAGAATGGATCTTTGATAATACAGCATTTACCAGCATAACTTTTTTTTGTTGCAAATGTACATGACTTTTGCAAAGTGGAACGAAAGTGATTAAAGTAAACTTTTGATAGCTTGCAAAGCTTCTGGAAATGTTTTGCCATTAGCCAGTGCCATTTTTGAGAATACCGCATAGAGGCGGGCTTCGACATTACAGTGTTAGGGCGGGTCAGTTTTTTCGACAATATTCTAAAAAAAAAAGGCCCAGAAATGCGCATACAGCTTTCAAACATTATATCGAACTACTATTTTATACAATAACACAGGTTTACAGAAAAAATTTTCAATGGATGCCACTATCCAATTTCTATGTAGAATTATTCGGTGACTCCGAAAATCGAGTTAATGTTTTTTTCTATGAATACATTTTCGAGATATTTGCAATTTACCGTAATTCAGCTTAAAACAAAAAGTGGTTCCACTTAATCACGTATATCTTACGAACAAATTTCACAATCTTAAAATGAAATACGTCAAATCAAAGCTAATACAATTCTCCATAAACATTTATACATCACTTTCCGATCGTACAGAATTCTGACAAATTAATTACTCATTCCAGTTTTTTTTTTTAACAAAGAAAGTAAAAAATCAAACATTAACAGAAGAAAAATTTCAAAAATAACTTTTTCGCATTCGTGCTAAAGCCCGTTCTGTTTCAATCAAGTTACTAATGAAGGATAGCGAGGGATAAATAAAGAAGTAATGAATGGTCAAATGAAAATACGCATACAATTTTTGTATGAAAAATGAGCAGGAAAGGAAGTTACTCATACGCTACCAAATATGGAAGATTTAGACAAAAACAGCAAACACAAACTGAAACCGAAACAAAACTGATGACGAACACTGGAACACTGGACAATCGACTTTGGCACTTCCTTATCGGAACCCGGGCCACGTCGTTGCGGAGTCCGATGAGGACACCCTTCTTGCCTGCAGTCAGGAGACAATCAAAAGTGTTCCCGGTTGTTCCAACCATAGTACATCAGAAGCACAAGCAGCAAAACATACCACATCTAAGGATGCCAAGCCAGTCATCCCTACCCGCCACGACTTCCGTCTTCCTCCAAAGCTGCCGGCAGTACCAACAACAACGACAACAACAACGACGGCGGGAGCAGGGGGGAAGAAGAAACATAAAAAGTCCCTGAGCCAAATCAGGAAAAGCCGCTACCAGAGGTCGGTCTACATGCTAGATAAAATATCAGGCAATTCAGCTCCAAGCGGCTCCTATGAGTTGAAGGGGGTTGATTACTATAAAAAGGTGGTTGAGGAATATGAGAGCTCCTTGAAAGAGAAGCAATCAGCAAACCCCAATCGACCTGAAATAAAGCAAAAAGGCGAATCTCAAGAGAGAAACCTTTCCACCAACGACAGCACTGCCGGCAGAGAGAGCAAGAAGCCTAAACAGGCTTCTTCATTTGACCCCGGCCCGCTGCAACCCCACTTTAGTGACTCGTCCTCGATAACCCGGTGGGTCCCCATCCGGAGTTTGATTCCTCTGGATCCTTTCGAGGATACAGGGTTATCAGATGCGCGGACCAAGCTTCTTTGGACTTCTTAGCTGGGTGCGTCGCTAAAATAAACGAAGCATTCGTCGGCCTTTAACTAAGGCTGATTCCAGCTAAGGACGTCCCTCAGAGGCCACGTGCACGTATCTGGTTACCCCCCATGAAAGAACCAGGCGAGAAACTTCTGAGGTGCCTAAAGCTCGCACGCAAACACATACCGTGTATAGCAGACTGGCAGCATATAAAAGTTGAGCAGCCAAATAAAACCAGCAGACCTATTCTCTTGGCCATTTGCGAAGAATCTATTGAGGCTCTGTCAAAGGCGGACAACAAAATTCGCTTTGGCATCCGCATGGCCATGATGAAGATTTTTGAACACGACAAGGCTCCTGATGAAGACGACACAGAGGAGGTCGACGATGCCAATATGTGCGACAGATAATCTGCCAATCCTTTTCGAAGAGGGAAAGCATCTACGTCAGCCTAATCCACTCTCCATGTACTCTCTTTTATAGTGGTAACACAGGTAAACCGAGAGCATGCATTATAATCCAAAAAGGTATTAATGCATTGCCTACCTGGCTCATGACAGGGACGCCCCACCCGACGCAGTGGAACAATTTATCGCACAAAATCAGTGGGAGCAAATTCTGATAGGATGCGACGCAAACGCGAGGCACACTATCTGGGGGAGTTCCACGATAAACAGCAGAGGTGAGTCTCTCTTACACTTTATATTGAATCCAAACCTGAGTATATGCAATAAAGGAGAGAGTCCGAAATTTATATTTCCCAGCTCCGAAAGATTTGCGGGATGGGAAGAGGTACTGGACTTAACCCTAGCAACAGATGGTATTTTCGTCGATGACTGGAGAGTATCCCGTGAAACATCCATGTCGGATCATTGTTGGATACTCTTCAGCATTCGCGGTAAACGCACTACCACTTCCATATTTCGTAATCCGAGAAAAACTATATGGCCAAAATTTGTCAGGCTAACGTCAGGTAACCTAGATAGCAGTAAATCAAAAGAGATTACAACTGCTGTAAAACTAGACAACACAGGATAAGCTGGAAAAAACTCTAGCCATAGCTTAAAAAAATCCACTCCTGTAAGCGTCCTT